GCCCGACGGGGCTCGGTGTTGACGCGGATCCAGTGATGCGGCGACCCAGCGGGCGCAGCATCCCGGGCCGGGGGTGGACAGCACCGATTTCCGCGTCGGACCCGGGACCGCGTCCGGCCCTGCGTGCTCCCCGCATGACCTTGTAAGGGTAGCGGCTCCCCCTTCTAAAGCCTCCCGCCTCGGCTCCGGGCGGCGGGACCCCCCAGACCTGCCTGGGACCGCGGCCGTTAAATGAGATGATGTGCGGAAAACACACACACACACACACACACACACCCCCAGGGCCCGGCGCGCCGTTCCTGCGAACTGTCATTGTCATCATTTAGGACTGTTGCTGCCACAACTGCCCTCCTTTTAGAGGTGGGGGAGTGGAGGCACACAGCCCGCAGTCGCCACGCCAAGGTCACACCGTTTGGGTGAGTGCGTGGACGCCGGGTGGAGACTCGAACTAGGTCCCCTGCCAGGAGCCCCCTCTTCCCACCGGGCCTGCTGGCCGTGTCTGTTTCCCAAGGCGGCCTGTGGGTCTCTGTGAAGCTGAGGGGGTGTTTCTCTCCTTGTAGGTGGCCTTCCCTTATGAAACACTACAGCCCCACCGACTACGTCAATTGGTTGGAGGAATATAAAGTTCGGCAAAAAGCTGGGTTAGAAGCCCGGAAGATTGTAGCCTCGTTCTCCAAGAGGTTCTTTTCAGAGCACGTAAGGATCTGTTGATGTAGCTCTAAGCATTCGCCTGGTAGTGGTGTGTGTGTGTGTGTGTGTGTGTGTGTGTGTGTGTGTGTGTGTGTGTGTGTGTGTGTCCGCGCGTGCGTGTGTGTCTGGGTTTGTAGGCATTAGCTCATCCGGCTCTTGTTGATATCTCCCTGTTCAGTGCTCTCACAATCCCTTACTCACTTCCATGGCTGCAAGAGTCATTGTGTCCTTTCCCTCCCATCCAAACAACACGAAGCCATTTGTCCCTGCCAGCTTTACTTTTCTAAAGCCAGAAAGAGAATGGGGGTGGAGGGAGTAGGGAGGGCCGCAGCACAATGTGGAGGGAATCCAGATCAGCACTATTTCTCTTCAAGTAGGTTAAATTTTTTTTTTTTTGCAACCTCCACATGATTTGGGGAAATCATCAATGATTGAGCACCATAGATTTCTCCCAGTTGTCTTCCCAGAAGGGTTGACAGAATTAATGTGGTTCTTCCCTCCTGCTTTGCAGGTTCTACCCAGCATCTAACTGCATTATTTGTAGGTAACAGGATGAAAACCTACATATAGATCAGAGTTGTTTCTCCCTTAAATAAAATTGTCTTGCATTCAATATCCCTGAGAAGTTTTCTTTCTTTCTTTCTTTCTTTTAATTGCTGAAATGCACAGGGTTTTTTTTGTGTGTGGGGGGGTGTTTTTTATTTTTTCCCCTTCCCCAAAATGTCTCATGGAAGTTTCTGTATCCATTCCTGATTCTCAACTTTTTGCAACTCTGGAAAATTTTGAAACTGATATTTTTAATTCAACAAACTATTAGATTTTCACTTCTGATTCGGAGGGGTCTACAAATAGAACTGATCTTATTTATGTTTACTGAAGGTTATTTACTGAAGATTAGTTCTGATGTTCTAATTTTAACTACTGCTAATGGAGTATACACATTGGAAATGTTTCCAAGTTGTTTCAGGTTTTGAAAGGGAAAATTTTGAACTTTGAACTAATTTGGACTTATTTCCATTTGGGTAATAAAAATTGACATTCCCTGAGTATAATTCATTGCTACAAATGTTTGTTAATGTTAGAATGAACACAATGTAAGTTCTACTTTGGAGAGGTTATGCCTTGGCTAATTCATAATCACAAATGGTGAATACTGGTTCAGGTGTATTTACCTTAGGCATGTTTGATGCAGTTGGTCCTGGGCTACTACTAGGTTGCAACCTCACCACCTTGTCCAGCGGGTTTTGTGTGCATTTTTAACATTCTGAGCCTTCACCTAATAATGATGGATTGTGCTTTTTTATCTCTTAGTTCTCTCTTTCCCTGTACCACTACTTAATTAGAAGTATGTAAAGAAAGGACTTTGAACACAGCAGGAGCATACTAAAGATTGATCTGTGGGTGGGTGATTGCTTTGGCTCAGGACCCCGAGCATGCACACAGGTTAACCTGGCTACCTTTAAAAAAAAAAAAGTGAAAGAAGTCATACGTGTTTTAGTGAAGATCTTGAAGCTCATCATTCTACCTGCTCCAGAGGAGAAAACATACCCAGCAGGTTAAAGGAGCACCTACTCCACCAAGCTTTTGATGGCTCTTGCCCTCCTCCCACAGTTGTGTAAAGCATAGACTGCTGGAAGTGGTATTGTAAATGATAAGATTTTGTAGTTCTAGTCCTTAAGAGCTATTTTTCTTCACATTAGAATTCAGTTTCAGCAATTTCTAGTGTATGAAGAGGTAATTAATTTACAAGTCACATGGAAAGCTGAATAAATTATTGATGCTTTTCATGATGCTTTCTACTCCTGGCAGGTAGTTTGAGGTAGTATAGAATAGCTGTTAACCACTGTCTACAGAAGTGGGCATCTGTGTATGCAGATCAGATTTGTGTGAATGATAACAGCATTAATCCTCGTAACTGAGGCCTACTTTTGTATATCCTCTTCATAGGTTCCTTGTAATGGCTTCAGTGACATTGAGAACCTTGAGGGACCAGAGATATTTTTTGAGGATGAACTGGTGTGCATTCTAAATATGGAAGGACGGTAAGCCATAACTTTCACAGAGTTTTTTTAGGTTTGTTTTAATAGTAATAATCCCAGAGTAAATTGCTATAATTTATATGTGACCAAACCTTGGAGGAATATGTTTCCAAGGTTGTTTGGAAAGTTCTGTGAGTACGAAGTTAATACATCAAGACGACTGATGTGCAATCAGCTATCTGTATCTATGGGTTCTGTGTCCATGGAGTCAACCAGCCTTGGATCCAAAATAGGGGAAAAATATGTCTGTACTGAACATATACAAACTTGTTTTTCTCTTGTCATTGCTCCCTAAACAATATAACACTATTTTATATAGCTGTTACACTGTATTAGCTATTGTAAGTAACTTAGAGGTGATTGAAAATGTAGGAGGACATGCGCGGTTTTCAATGCAAACACTGCATCATTTTACATAAGGAACTTGAGCATCTGCAGAGTGTGGTGTCCAAGAGCAGTTTCTAGAACCAATCTACCACAGATACCAAGGGGCAGCTGTGTAAAGAAATCTTGTAAAAATCCTTTTGGAAAGAAAAGAGAATTTTTAGCTCTACTATAGGTCAAGCACTATGCTCTAGGCACTTGTATTTTTTAGGTCAATGTGAAACCTTTTGGTCACGTTATCCTTCGTCACTTATCCACCTACCACTACCAAATTTGCCTGTCATGAATTGAATTTTTGTTTCTTAAAATAATCTTTTAGGCATGTCTTGATGTAATGGATACTTTTTTAAATAAAAAAAATTACGATTTCTGAATTTGGGTAAGAATCTTACTTTGGTCTTGAACATTGTAGCTATTTAGTAGAGCTGGTTTTTTTCTTTTTCCTCTCAGGCAGTAGACTATTGCTTATTCTCCCAATTAAGAAAGATCGTTATTTCTTGGTGGTGGTTTAAAATGTTTTAGGCCTTATCTTTTCTGTTGTGAAGATTAATTTCTCGTTTACCTGGAAGATGACTTGGCTTCCCACTTACCTTGGTGGTGGAAAGGATTTTCTGTTCTAATAATTGAGAAAGCTTTACTAGTGATGGAAGATAAGAGCGGGAGTGTTTACTATTTTCCTTAAGAGAAATCATTGTGAAATAGCTCACAAGCAAGGCATGAAATGTTTCTATTGTTGTTTTTAAGGAGATTTGGAAGAGGTAAAACTTTGTCAGTGGAACAAGGAGAGGTAAGATGTGTCACTATTCTAGGCCTTGGATGAGTTCAGATGCAGAGGTCATTTTCCTGTTTCTATTTTGGTTTATCTATAAATGAATTGAAGTATGATCTAACAGTGTTATGTAGCCTTAAAAATAAAAGCTGACTTGTGTTTTACACATACACACACACACATATACATATATATATATATATATATATATACACACTTTTAAATACATATATGTGATCTCATATGTACTTTATTGGTTTAGTGAGATGTTTATTGCAGACTTTTTTTTCCCTAATATGTGCTGATTATACCCTTCTCTACTCCCTCCCTCCTTTCACATTGGCCTTCCTGTACCTACCCCTTTTCTTCTTGCAGGGATTGAACTCAAGGTGCTTAACACATCCCAGCTATATATTTTATTTTTTAGTTATAGGTGGACATAATACGTTATTTTATTTATTAATCTATTTATTTTTATGCAGTGCTGAGGATGGAACCCAGTGCCTTACACAGGCTAGGCAGGCGCTCCACCGCTGAGCTACACCCCTAGCCCCTTATATTTTATTTTGAGATAGAGTTTTGCTGAGTTGCTAAAGCTGCTTTGCATTTGCAACCCTCCTGTCCCAGCCTCCTGAGCTGCTGGGATTACAGGCGTGTTCCACACTCGGCCCCCTGTACTTCTTAATAACAACCTGTGTTGTGCTCTTTCATGCTAATAGATGGTGATAAATATGGGTAAGGAAAAGGGGATCATTATTTCATAAAATCGGTATCATATAATAGGTATTTTTCTCTCTATATATTTTTTCCTCACTCAACATTACCTTAAGGAAACCTTTTTTAATCAACTGGTATAAGATCAAATTTACTCTTTATGGCTAGTATTATTTAGTAGTTTATACCATAGTTTATTTAACCATTCCTCTCTGATAAGCAGCCACTTTCTTCTTATGTCACTGTGAAGAAGAATGTCTAGTAGATTCATTTCCAAGCCATAGATTCTTGGGAATGAGATTCCTAGATTCAGACTACAGAGTATTTTTGAAAATAAGAGCATGTCCTTAAGAGCAGAGACTTACTATACAAAAATGCTAGTTCTGAAATTATGACACCTAGTGCCATTCTAATTAGGATCCAAACAGGGTTTTGAGAGGGGGACCTTTTTATTTTTTCAGTTGAATAATACTGTCATAAAACACATATGGATTAGTAAGTTTAGGGCCAGAGGAAGAAAAATGTTTAAGTAATCATCCTGGAGGCTGGGAAGAACTCAGCTCAGTGATAGAGTGCTTGTCTGTATGCCCGGCCCTAGGTTTAATCCTCAGCACTACAAAAAAATAGTGACAGTGACAATTAGAATCATAATGGGAAATGTGTATCATGAGATAGTACAACATATTCCAAGACTATTTGTACCAAAAAATAGTCTTTAAATAAATACTACTTAACAGATAAATTATGGCTATCCGTGGCAAAGGAGGATCCACATCCCAAAATAATGGATAATATATTTAAACTCTGAGAGAAAAAAGTGGATGATTTAATAGGTGAATATCCACCTGAAACAAAATAAAATCTGCATCATATATAAAGAAATTTCCAAAGGGTTAAACAACTGAAATTTTTAAATGATCACAATGAAATAGGAGACTTTTAGGGAGACCTCCTTACTCAAGACCAATGATACTAAAGCAATGAAAGAACACAAATGATTTTGTTGTAAAAAATAAACTTCTGTATATCTGAAGAAAGCATAAAGTTAATATAATTCTTATGAATTTCCAACAAGAAATTGAAAAACATACAAAGGACAGAAGAATAACATTCACAGAAGAGCAAATCCATATGCTGACAATCATGTAAAAAACCTTCAAACTCACTTTTCAAAGAAATGTTAAATAAAATAACAGGGGAGGGGCTGGGATTGTGGCTTAATGGTAGAGCACTTGCCTAGCTCGTGCGAGGCCTTGGGTTAGATCCTCAGCACCACATAAAAATAAATAAGTAAAATTAAGATATTGTGTCCAACTACAACTAAAAAATAAATATTAAAAAAGTAAGTAAATAACAGGGGAACTTCGAACTTGCAATCAAGTTATTTGCCTTTTTACTTATCAGATTGGCAAAAAAAAAAAAGACTAAAAATGCATAGCAAATAAAAACATGTATGATGGGGTTTTTTAGAAATAATTTTATAAATATATTACCCCTTGGCCTGGCATATATTTTGAGCCTAACATAGGGTAGTTTTTAAATGACAGGGAATACTCTACATCTTAAAATATTTGGGGATACCAGTTTCTGTGGAGGACTCAGTTTGTATTCAGTCCTGGCAAAAGGCTTGTTGTTTGCTTACAGAAAACTTAGGAGAAGAAGAAAATAGTTTCCGCAAATGCTTTAGTCTCTGTCTTTGAAAAATAATTTGTATTTAATGGTGTTCTGTTGGTCTGAAAAAAGTACACTGCACCAGTAAAAAGATGTGAAGACAGAATGAGTATGTCCCCTGGTGCTATGGCACATACCTATAATCCCAGAGGCTTAGGAGGCTGAAGCAGGAGGATCCAAAGTTCAAACCAGCCTTAGCAACTCAGCAAGATGCTGTCTCAAAATAAAAAAGGGTTGGGGATGTGGCTTAGTGGTTAAGTGCCCTGGGTGCAATCCCTTCCACCCAAAAAAGAAAGAGGACACACTGCGATAAAGACTTGAAACTACATATTTTAAAAGTGTATATTGTAGCTGAGAAAATTGACCCAGAATGACTAATACTGAGATACATTTTAGTAAAATTACTGGATTTTTTTTTTTTTTTAAGACGGTCTTCATAAGTTGCTTAGGGCCTTGCTAAGTTGCTGAGGCTGGCTTTGGCTTTGAATTCATGATCCTTCCGCCTCAGCCTCCCAGGCCTCTGGGTTTATAGGTGTGCACCACTGCACCCAGCCCCCAAATCACTAGATTTAAAGACAGAAAAGCCCTTTGGTTAAGCAAAAAATGGTGAAGTCGTAAGAGAAAGAAAATAAAATATGTCAACAGGCTTTTCAATAGCAATGCTTTATGGTAGAGGAAAAAAAGATATTCAAAGATTGAAAGAAAACGTCAGCTAAGGTTTTTATGCCAGCTAGACTGACTTCCAGATATAAAGGCTACAAACTTACCAACTTGGAGAGAGCCAGACTTTCAGGCTCTGTCTGACAAATCTGCTAGAAAATGATCTTTGGACACTCTAAACAAACAAAACAGAACAGATATGTTGACACAGACCTGGGGGTGAGCATTCAACATAGGTTGTAGAATTAAATCCAAACCAGGCTTGTAGGGGCAAAGTATGTGTGTGTCGTGAGCATGGCCCCTGGCTGTGTAGGTTCAGTGCAGCTATTTAAAAAATGAGTGGACAGTGACAGTGCAGAAAGATGTGTGTGTAAATAGTCTGTCTTTGCACTCATTAAAGTGACAAGAATGTTGGTCTTGTTATTCTGAGCATAATGTATGTGTGAGAGGTGTATAATAAAGTAAGTGAATAATTATGTGATAATTATTCTAATTCTGTCATCTGGAATCCTGCAGAAGCAGAATTCTGGAATAAAAAAGAAAATAGAAGGAAGTCTAAGCCGTGTACTTCTAAATTTGAATTACTAGTGTTGGGGTGAACTCATGTAGTATTTTATACATAAATATGTAGATATTATATGTCGGGGTGTGTGCAGTCATTAAGCATACTAGCTCTGTTCACTGAAGAGGTCTAAAATTAATAACCAATCCAGTAGAAATGATCTTCCCTGGTCTTCAGATTGTGAACTTTAGATACCATTTTCCACCAAAAATAACCAGGGCTTTTGGAGAAATGGTTGATTCTAGGTCCAGTGCAGGAAATGAAAAAGATGAGCCTCAAGTATCTTCCAAGCCTGGAACCGGGTAGCAAAACAACCAACAATTCTCCACAACAGAAGTGTTTGGAGCCAGTAGTGAAGAGGCTTCTATGGACTGGAGATGTGAGGATTTGAGCATCAATGCAGATGAGTGGATTGAAACAGATATGTTTATTCCATGAGTTCATCATAGTATTTAAAAATAACAACTTATTGGCCACCTTTGGAGGATAATAGAAACTCAGATCATTAGTTTGAAAAATATGAATGAAAGGAATGATATAAATGTTGTCCCTTCCTTTCCTATATCCTGTACCGATGGAGGACCAAATAGCAAAGATGAATGGAAGTTTTTCTTTGTAGAAATATTCTAACCAATAAATGAAGAAGGGATTGTTCAGTAAGACTATCACTACTTTGTAACCTCTAAGGAATGAGCAGACCAGGCATCCTGTCATAGTGGCTGCTGACGTTGCAAGAGAAACAACTAGGCCGAACCACCTCCTAAGGCAGGGCCTTACTTCTTCCTGGGAAGGCATCTTGGCCAAATGATTGGCATCTGAATCTTGAAACTCTACCTCCAACTTCCAACAAGAAATCCAGGAGAGCATTTTATACCATGATGTGGATGCAATCAGGAAATTCCAGACAGGGAAGCTACAGGTCAAACAACCCTGTTTCTTCAACAAATAAAATGCAAGGGGGTGCTAGGCACAGTGGCACACTCCTGTAATCTCAGCAACTGAGGAGGTTGAGGCAGGAGGATTGCAAGTTCAGAGCCAGCCTTGGCAATTTAGTGAGGCCCTAAGCAACTTAGAAGACCCTGTCTCAAAAAAGGAGGGCTGGGGATATGGCTCAGTTGCTTGAGTGCTTGCCTTGCATGCACAGTGCCCTGGGTTCAATACCTAACACCACAAAATAAATAAACAGCTAAAGAGAATTGAGGATGTGGTTCAGTGGTTAAGCACCCTTGGGTTCAATCGCCAGCACCATAAAATAAAATTTAAAAAAATCATTGATTTAAAAAAAAAAATACAAGGTGGGGAAAAGGTAAAGAGAAGTCCTGTAGATTAAGAGATTTTAAGGACCATAGAATAGGCTAGAATGTTTAGGGATGCACATTTGGTGGTTATTACTGCAGAGAAAAAGAATGAAGTGGAGAATGACCAGAGAGGTGTGGAATGTGGTTATTTTTGATGGGGAGGAGGGACACATCTTGTGTGTGTGTGAAAGAGAACCAAAGGCATTCTGAGAGGAAGCAAGAGGTCCTGGACTCTTGGAGGTTGTCGGCCTCACTGGAGTGGTAGAGCTGCAGTACTGGAGGTCTGGTGACTGGGAGGAAAGAGGTTCTAAGGTGCCCCCCGCCCTCTGAGTGGGAAGTGGAGTGGTGGGTGGGTATGCAAGACCAAGTTCTAGGGAAAACTTCTGAAACATAAAAACGGGAGGTCAGTGTGGATAATGTCTGAACGGAGGTTGGATAGACTTGCTGTGACTGTGACCACGGAAGGGAACGCAGCACCCAGAGTGCCCTGAGGCAGAGGCTGGGGACCAACCTGGATTCCAGGTGCCCTCCTGTCTCTTGAAACCCACAGAAGCTCAGCTCATTCTTGGGCTACTCTTTCGTTTCCTTTTACCAAAGATTATAGGCAAGTAAATCTGAGGCCAGCCCATAAGTGTTCCATGGATTTTAGCACAAGGGATCGAGTGTTGAGTCACACGTGCAAAGCCCTTAGTGTGCTGCCAGCCCCCATGCTAGTAAGGACAATAGGAACAGGAATCAGCCAGGCATGTGGCGCATGCCTGTGATTTGAGCAGTTCTGGAGACTGAGGCAAGAGGATCACAAGTTTGTGGCCCACCTCAGCAACTTCGCAAGACCTTGTCCCAAAATGCCTTTTTTAAAAAATTTTTTTTAGTTGTAAATGGATCTTTTATTTTATTTATTTATTTATATGCAGTGCTGAGGATCAAACCCAGGGCCTCATACATGCCAGGCAAGTGCTCTACCACTGAGCCACAACCCCAGCCCCCCCTCCCCCAAATGCCCTTTTTAAGGGTTGGGGATGTGGCTCAGTGGTAGTACTGGCTTCAGTCCCCAGTTCCAAAAAAGATGGTGAACCATTTCTAGTTGTCTGATTATAATAGACTACATGACATGATCATTGTGAAGTAGAAACTAAGTAATTGAACATTTTAAATATCTTAATTCTTATTGACTTGATTGTTATTTGTTTGTTTTCTAGAAAAGCTTTGACCTGGAAATACTACGCCAAAAAAATTCTTTACTACCTACGGCAACAGAAAATTTTAAATAACCTCAAGGCTTTTCTTCAGCAGCCTGATGATTATGAGTCGTATCTTGAAGGTGGGTCTTTCCCATACCATGGACAGTGGTCTTTCATAGGTAGCTTTTTAAGAGTAGTCTTTCTAAGAGCAGGAGAAGGAACTGCTTTTGTGGTATGAATGGAAAAAGAAATCACACTGAGAGCTTTGGGAGGTTGGATTGTGGCCTGGCCAGTGAGGTGGGCAGTACTGCACCTCCGATAAGGTTTTGTTGGTATCTTTAGCCGTCAGCTGAAGAGAGGGTGCTTCTAAAGATGCGTCATTGGTCCACGTGTGAGAGTGATGTTTTAGCTAATGAGATGAATTCCTTCCAAGCTTTGAAGCATCATTTCCAAGACAGAAATAAAGGCATCTGATTTTGTCTCTGTGTAACCTTGAGCAAATCCCTTAACCTCTGGTTGGAGTTTAATGAGGACAGAATGTTCTGGTGCATCGGCATCTGCTGGTCCATGATGAGAAGCAAGGAGAAAGGGGTTGGGTGGGCAGGCTCTGTGGGGGCAGGGAGTGACTCTGTGTTCTTAGGTAGTCCAACAGGAACAAAATGTGACTTCAATTTCTTTAAACTATTTTAATTCCTAGAATGTTATACAAACACTCCCATAAATTGTGGTTATGAAATGCATGTTTCTTTCCCTTCTTCCAGTGACTTATTCAGTCGTTAATTTTTTTCCCTTCCCTATCACCTAGTCATGTCTCCATTCCTGTTCTCATGTGGTTGTCACAACCTCTCCCAGCAGCAGCTTTCTAAGGATACTTACTCTCCTGAGCCCCCAACTCCTGCCCTCAAATCAGCCAACACATCCAGCCCAGTCCAACCCAGACTCCCCTTCTCACCGTTCCTGTGGGGCCTGCCACCGAAGTCAGCTTGCTCTGTGAACCTTTGCTTCCAGTATCCTCCACAGTCCTTCCTCCTGACCCTTCCCATTACTCTGCACATACACTACTGCCTTCACTTGCTCACTTGTGGCCTCCTCCTCCTTTGTTGTGCCCTCGAGGCTCGGCTCAGGCCTCCCCTCCATCCAGTGCCAACTGAGGGCTTGAGGGTTCCCTAGCTGTAGTAGCTTTAATAGTCACCTGCATCCCAGTCTTTCTGTTTGAAATGTATTTGTTTCTTCAACTAGTCACTATGTTTCTTTATGATCCTGGTTGCAATAAACAATGCCTAATGTAGGTACTTATTAATTGTAGGAAAGTCCAGTACTGTCCAGAAGGAAATGGAAGATCTTTTTTAGTGGATTAGAATACAATATCCTTACCACCTTGGAATTCTCTCATACACACTGAAGTTGGAAGTCCTCCTCAAGAATAGTGTAACAAGCCTTGTTTTCTGAAGTTTATTTATAAAAATAAATACTTGATTTTCATTTTTCAAAGTTACAGTTTTCAAGTCACCCATCCAAATCATTGTTGTAGGCATTGGAAGCCATCATCGAATTTTACATGGCTGAGTGAATGGACACCTGTCCAGGGCTTTAATGCTTGGTGGCCCGTGGAGCTCTAATGCCATCGAAGAGGTGCAGGAGTCAGTGTTAGGCTGAGTAGAGATGTGCAGCATGGCCCTCGGCCATACAGAGGGAGTGGCACACAGGGGCCCAGGAGCCAGACCCTGGCTGGTGGCAACACAGGACTGGAGTCTCAGTCTCTTGATGCCCATTCAGTGCTCTCTGCTCCTCAGAGTGTTTGCTGGTAGGGTAGTCAGGATCCGGAACTGTTCTGGGGTCTCTTGAATTGAAGATGACTCCCAGGCTCTCAAGTGAATATGTCCTGTAACCAAATGATGACAACCCTTTGGTGTCAGGTGAAAAGATCACCTAAAGCTCTGGAGAGTGCTGGTTTTCAAGAGGCAGGGTCTGGTGTGCCCTGTACGATGTTTCAGTGGCAGCTTCTCTGAGCGTTACTGTTTAATGTGAAGGTACAGTTATCTTCAAAGTCCATTTACTCTTCACCTTGAGAAGTAGAGTTTATTCAAATGGATGGTCATTGAGGGCTTTCATTTTTATTTTATTTTTTGTTTTTTAATGAAAGGAACTGTTTTACCCCATTAAGGTTTCTGAAGATTTTGGATTTTGAACCTATAAGAAAGCAGGAGAGAGAAGTAGCTTGAAAAGATCTCCGTTTTCACATCTGATTCTCCTTATCATAGAATATAGGAATATGCTATATATTACACAATTATTTATTTATTTGTCTGTTTCTTTATTTTACTACTGGGGATTGGACTCAGGGGCACTTGACCACTGAGCCACGTCCCCACCCTTATTTTGTATTTTATTTAGAGACAGGGTCTTAAATAAGTTGCTAAGCATCTCACTTTTGCTGAGGCTGGCTTTGAACTCATGATCCTCCTGGCTCAGCTTCCTGACCTGCTGGGTGTATAGGTGTATACCACTGCGCCAGACTATCACACAATTTTTGAGCCCATGAACTCTGAGAGGTCAGAAGAGTTTTGTTTATCAGAAGAAGACTGAAATACAAACTCCTTCATTGTGAAATCTGTTCTTCCTTCTCAGTGTGTTAGCAGCAAGGCCTAAGATAGGACACTTATCTGGTTGTGGGTGGTGCGCAGAACTCTCGCCCGGGGTGTTTGGGGTCCAACAACAAGCTGGTAAGAATAAGGAAGAAAAGAGTATCAATCGCCTGGTTCTTATTCATCCCCAGGTGCCGTGTACATCGACCAGTACTGCAACCCTCTCTCAGACATCAGCCTCAAAGACATCCAGGCCCAGATCGACAGCATCGTAGAGCTTGTTTGCAAAACCCTCCGGGGCATAAACAGCCGCCATCCAAGCTTGGCCTTCAAGGCAGGTGTGGAATTGCTTTGGGTCCAGCTATATTTGAAAAACAAACAAACAAACCAAAAACCTTGGGGAGTTGGTTTATTTGGGAAATGCTAAGATGGTCCGTTTATACAACAAAAAAACGTGATAAACAATAGAACATCCTTTTTACCTGAATAAAATGAGAGACTTTAGATACATACTCCATTTTGCTCCCTAGATTGGAAGCACTTGGTTCTTAAGCCATTGCCAGTCACCACATATTGTGGGTTATTTGGGGCATTATTGGGAACGTCATTTGTACTTGTGTCCCAGAGCAGATCTCTCTGTTTCAGGTGACTCCTCCATGATAATGGAAATAGAACTTCAGAGCCAGGTGCTGGATGCCATGAATTATGTCCTTTATGACCAGCTGAAATTCAAGGGGAACCGAATGGATTATTACAATGCACTCAACTTATACATGCACCAGGTAAATGTGGATATAGTAAAGAAAGATACAGTTGGCCCTCCATATCTGTGGATTCCACTGCATCCACATATTTTAACAAAATATTTCAAAAAAAAAAAAAAGTAATGATTGCATCTGTACTGAACATGCACAGACTTTTCATGTCATTATTACCTAAGCAATACAACTATTTACATATTTTACATTTCTTTTACATACCTACCGTTTGTAAGGCATTAGGTATTTTAAGTCATCTTGAGATGGTTTAAAGAATGCAAGGTTATTTACAAATAGTGTACCACTTTATATAAGGGATTTGAGCATCCACACGTTTCAGTATTTGTGGGCAGTACCAAGCGACAGCTGTGTGTGTGTGTGTGTGTGTGTGTGTGTGTGTGTGTGTGTATACATGTATATTTTAAGTTCGTTTCTGATAGACTGTGTTTGTGGAGGATGGATGCTATGTCTTCCCATTTCTGAAGGCCCATTTTTATTCAGCCACAAGAGTTTTGCTGTGAATGTCCTTTGTATGGGGATAAATTTGCTAGTAGAAGTAGGTATTTCTCTGACTCAGTTGGGTCCACTGGACCATGTGAACACACACCTGCAAACCTCATCAGGGCTTTCTCTGCTCTGGTCTCCAGCAAATTTGGTGTCAATCCGCGTTCTAGCCATGTCAGACTTGGCACTTTCAATATTTATTTGCTTCCTTCTTGGCTCCGTTTTCATATCTATTCTGTGCTCTGCCTGCTACTTTCATTTTATTTTGTCACACTTACACACTTTTCCTTGAAATGTCTTTAAATTCTTTTTGGAAGAACAAGGACCTAAGTCAGGGGTCAGCCAACTTCCTGTAAAGGGCCAGACAGTACGTCATCTTGGTTTGCAGTCCCTGTGGTCTCTCTCCTGACTCCTCAGGATGCTCTTACAGAGTGAAGGCGGGCACAGTGACACAAAAACAGATGAGTGCCGCTGTGTTCCCACAGAATTTTATATATGGACGTTAACATTTGAATTTCATATTATTTTCATATATGACAAAATGGTACTCTTGAAAAATATAAAAGCTCTTTTTATGCCAGCTTTACAAAAATAGTATCCAGTTGGACTGGATTTAGCCCCTGGGTCATAACTTGTTGACCTCTGATCTAAATAAATAAAATATTGATTGTTTAAGCTTCAAACCCTAGTATCATGCCTGATGTACAGTAGATACCTGTAAGAATATTTGTTGAATGAAAGAGAATGTATGAATCCAAAGCATTTTTTCTCCTTTAGGTTTTGATCCGTAGAACAGGAATCCCAATCAGCATGTCTCTGCTCTATTTGACAATTGCTCGGCAGTTGGGAGTCCCACTGGAGCCTGTCAACTTCCCAAGTCACTTCTTATTAAGGTGGTGCCAAGGCGCAGAAGGGTAAGCCCCCTCTGACACATTGTAATTGGTGCCAAGGACCCAGTCCCACTGTGCTGAGAAAAAGCCTGACTTCGTGGTTAAATTAGGTATCATCACACAGAGGTTAAAACTGGGACATGGGGCTGTTTTGGTTTTTGATGGTAATCCATGTTGATATTCTACTTGTGATATTGTATTGTAGTCATGCAAGCTATTACCATCAGGAGGGATTGGGTCAAGGGTACTCTGTATTTCTTATACCTGCATGTAAATCTATATTTACCTCAAAAAGTTTAATTAAAATAGGAAAGACTAGGACTTCAAGGTCTTCTGGCTCCAAGGTCCCTTTGTTCCAAAGTAGATCAGATCAAAGCCTTCTTAGAGAAATTCTTACTTTCCTTCCTTCCATAAATCTCCCCTTTCTTCTGCATGTGTGCCCAAGCTTGAGAGAAAGAAACCTGGCTAATGAGTTCTATTTTGTTCTTTTAAATCTAGTGTCTTATCAGTCAGAAATCTCTTCAGTTATAATCTAGCTTTTCTGCAAGAAATGGTTCAAGCCAGGTGTGGTGGCACATGCCAGTATCCCAGCACCTCAAGAGGCTAAAGGAGGAGGATCATCAGATTCAAGGCCAGCTTTAGCAATTTAGTGAGAACCCTGTATCTAACTAAAATATTTTAAAAAGACTGGGGATGTGGCTCAGTGGTTAAACTCCCCTGGATTCAATCCTCAATGCCAAAAAAAAAAAAAAGAAATATCTTATTAAATCTGCCATTTTATGGAAAAAGTAATGATCTATTTCATGTTCTTTGAAACCAAAAGATTGTAATAATCTTGGGTGAACTGATCAGACAATGCAGTAGAAAATACTTGAGCTTTGACATCAGCCTGAGCTCAAAACGGTGGTTTCCTCTGAGCCTCAGTTTCTTCCTCTGTAAAATGGGGTCACTTTTTCATAGAGTGGCTTGGAGGATGGAAAAGATCACAGTCCTTTATCCACCTAGTCAAGGCTCTGGTGCTGCATAGAAAGAAGTACAGTTTGTCTCTGCGTGTCTACCTCCTAGTTTAAAAAAAGAAGTAAAATATTATATGTATAATTGAAGCCTTCCAGGCATTCTTCCTGATTGCTTTTTCCCCCCTTTCTGCTCCCCAGAAGTAACTACCAGTCTGTTTAAAATTGTTTACTTCCACGTAGATTATTAGTTCATTATGTATGTGTGGTTTTTTAGACAACTGTACACCCTTCCCTAGTTTTCCATGTTGTTTTGCAAATATGTGTTCCTAAATGTGTACTGGGTAAGTTGGGCACAGAGGCACACACCTGTAATCCCGGCAAGTCAGGACACTGAGGCAGGAGGATCTCCATTTCAAGGCTAGCCTGGCCAGTTTGAGAAGACCCTGTCTCAGAATAAAACATGAAAAGGGCTGGGGAAGGAACTCAGTGATAGAACACTCTAGGTTCAATTTTCAGTACTAAAGTGGGAGGGGGTGCTGGGAAAGTAGATATCCACTTTTCATTATTTTAAATGAGAAAAATAATTTTTCAGCTCATTTCCTTTCTCTGTATAATCCAGCCTCTCCATGTTTCTCTAAAATATTCTGAAATGCCTATGTAGTAACTCACCATGGTTTTTGTGTGCTATAAAGTGTTCATAACACTGATCACCATATTGTTTACCATAGTAATGTATTACATGGTAGCATTGTGTGTGGTGACAGTATCATTTTTCCTTCATGGGCTACAGTGAGCATATATCATAGTGCAAATAAATAATGCAATAATTTGTTAATATTCCCAGGTAGCCTTTTGTCCTAGCTACTGTAGAGGTTAAGCTGGGAGGGTCACTTGAGCCTAGGAGTTTGAGACCATCCTGGGTAACGTAGTGAGAACTTGTCTTCAAAAGAAAAAGACAACTTGGGCAGGTAGCAGAAACAAACCCCGGAGCCCATGCAGGACTCGGCCCTCAGGCTGTGGGAGCACACAGCTCTCCCCAGCAGCTGGGCTGTGTCCCTCTCTGTCCTTGTCTGGGCTCTTACCACTCCTGCCTTGGGTCTCTTTTCACTGTCCCTGCACCAAGATCATATTATCTCAATTATTGTGACTTTATAATTAGTCCTGATACCTGGTAGTATGAGAGTCCCAATGTGCTCTTCAAGTCTGCCTTGGTAGTTCTTAGCTTTCGCTCTTCCATACAGAATCATCAGGTTCCGTAAAATAAATCTGCATGCATATTGATTGGAGCCATTGACTGCTTTTGATTGGATTTCTAGATCAGTATGAGGACAGTGGCAGTGTTCACTGTTGAGTCTTTCTGTCTAGGAAATGGTCCTCCGCATTTACCTAGGTCCTCATTAGTGCCCCTGAAAAGATTTTTACACTTTCCTTCATCAAGATAATCAATATCTCAGAAGATTTTTATTTGTAGATACCTTAAATTTTTGTTGCTGTTTTAAGTGGGAATTATTACTTTTCTAAGTATTGATGGTATACAGGGATGAAGCCAATAATTTAGATACAGGTCTGATATTCACATTTGCTGAATAAATTATGAGTGTAATTTGTCAACTTGATTTTTTTGGTGTTAATAATCATCATCAGTAAGTATTGACTTTTCTTTTTTCTGGCTTTATATATTATAAATATAT